TATAATAGAATCATGATATTAAAATTAAATCGTTCACCATCATTTGCAACATTTGAAATATTTTCACTAGCAATTTCTCTATCATACAAGAAAAGAATATTATCTTCATCCGCAACAAGCTGTAGTATTAGCGTGTGTGATTACAAAAAATGGATTTTAGTAATTAAACTAAATCCAGTAGTTTTATGTTTAGTATTTAGTACCAACTCAATCTCGCCCAAGCTGTCTTGCCATTCCTTCAATTTCAATCATTGTCAGAACATCTTTTAAAAGTTGCGTCAAGCGCTCTACATAACCTTTGGCTCTACTTGCATTATGTGCAATAAAATGGACATCAGTGTGATTGTTAGAACAAAACTTTTTCAATTTTGTGCTAGTGAAACATTTTCCTTGATCAGAAATAATTCGACCTTGTCTCATACGTAAAATTCCGAAAAGATTCGACGGCTTGCTTATTTGTTAATGAAGAAACAAAAAACAAACAACAAATTTCGTAACAGCATCCAAAATTACAGGGGCATATTCTTTTTGATCACTTTTCCCCATTTACTTTTCGAGAAACATCGTAGTAATTAATAATATGAATTGTGTGCCAAGGTTTTGCAACTTTTGGTATTGAATGTAAGTGAATCTGTGAATACCTGTTTTTCCATTCAATGCTTTACAAACCAAGCAATTATTAACAAAATTTTTCCTGACATATTCAGGAACCAATAAAATTCATGCAATTGTCCTAACAAATTTAGACGAATTTCTAAACTGTCTGTCTTCACTCTACTAATTGGCACACCATTAACACAAGGAATGATAGTAAGACCCAGGATTCTTTACGGCGCTGTGGTATGGTGGCAGAAAACACAACAGGCCACAGCGAAGGAAAAACTGAATAGAATTCAGAGATTGGCCTGTTTAGGTATAACGGGGCGATGGCATCGACCCCGACAGCTGCACTAGAAGTCATGCTAAATCTGCCACCGCTGCATATAGTGGTGGAGAGAGAAGCGCGGCTAGCAGCATATCGACTCAGGAATAATAATGACTGGAGGGGTGGTTCCCACTCCAGGATCAAAGATACATCAATGTCGGAACCAATTCTTGGGATGATATCCGACAAGATGGTTCCAAAGTTTCACTTCCACAAGCCATTTCAGACTCGAATAGAGGATCAAAGCGAGTGGGAGGAAAGGTTTAATACCCTGGAAAGGTGGAGCCTAGTATGGTTTACAGATGGCTCCAAAATGACCAGAGGGACGGGTGCAGGAATATATGGACTCAGACCCAGATGGAGTGCAAGCTACAGTCTGGGGGAGTTCCCTACTGTATTCCAAGCAGAAATCTTCGCGATAATGGCGTGTCTGGTAGAGAATGTACGTAGAGGTTATAGACGTAAACTCATATATATATTCTCTGATAGTCAAGCTGCAATTAAAGCTTTAGCCGCACACAAGGTAAGTTCAAAACTGGTGTGGGACTGTTTACAGATGCTGACTGAACTGGCCACCAACAATACAGTCAGACTGTGTTGGGTGCCAGGGCACAAAGGTATTTGTGGAAATGAGAAAGCGGATGAACTTGCGAGGAAGGGATCCGAGACAGTGTTCATTGGCCCGGAGCCCTTCTGTGGCACATCTCCCAGTGTGGTCAGGCGGGCTCTGGGCAAATGGACAGAGACAGAACATAGGAAATACTGGACTTCAAGGCCAGGACATAGCCATTCCAAGGAGCTTATGGAGTATCCTTCGAATGGAAGAGCGAATGAGTTACTGAGCTTGAATAGAATCCGGCTCAGGAGAGTGACAGGACTCATAACGGGACACTGTCACTTTAGGAAACATCTACATAGACTAAAGCTTGTAGACAGTCCGGTCTGCCGAGGATGCGAATCGGCGGATGAAACTTCTCTGCATATCCTGGGCGAGTGCCTGGGATTTGCACGTAGCAGAATAGCGCTCCTTGGGAGACCCTATTTGGAACCCAAGGAGCTGAGAGAAGTGTCAGCAAGGAAGCTTTTGGACTTTGTAAAAAGGACAAATCTACTTGCTGAATAGGACTAGTAGTGGGACGCACAGTAGGCCTAATTAGGCCGCAGTGCTATGGGACTTTTAAAGGACCAACCACTAGATGAAGAAGAAGAGGAAGAAGAACACAAGGAATGATAATTTGCTAATAAATCGATCAGACCCATCTTGTCTTGGTAATTTAAGTCAGTATCAATTGTTTCAAAATTAATTATTTTCGCAACGTTGAATATAGTTTTGTCGAGTAATAATCAATTCTTTCATACTGTAAGAATCATGGTTTAAGCATTTAAATATCAGCCTATTATAATATCAAAACAAATACTATCATCGAGTACAAGTAATGAAAATGTTTAGAAATTTATCTAAATTAATTTTTGGCAAAGTGCAAAATATAGTGTTTTCTCAAATGCATTTCACCAATTTTGCAATTTACCATCCAATAAAGATGAAACACAATTTTTAACTAACGAGCTGTCTGATCCAGAATCAATAAGAAATGGAATAATCGCACAATTCTGCAATTTTAATTGTCCTCTGTCTGTATCCACCAAATTTATCCTCATGTTTAGCAGATGAGATCTTTTCCAGGACAATGCGTGGAAATATGGCCATTGAAATTTCAAGTTTTTGATAATTAGTTAAAACATTTACGTGATCTCGATCTGGTGACAGGCAACAACAGTATGGTAATCGATAATGCAGCTGACAAAACGCGTCTCAACACGCAACACGTGACCAGATAAAAAAAGTTATTATTTGGATGTTTATCTACAGACATGTTTCCAGTGTTTTTTCTTTTTGAAATAGCAATTTCGAAACCGGTCACCAGGCAGTTGTGATTTTTGTGATAAATGACTTAGGGTAATTTCTAGATTACTGAAGTTGTAAATCAATATCAGTCGGAGCATGTAACTCGTAGAGTAGTTATTGTTTTCCAGAATATCGTTAGTTAAAAAATTAATAACTTTATTTTCAACATAATCGCGTTCTTCCAATATTTGTTTTTGCATTTCTTAAAGACGAGTATTAAAGAATGTACCGTACCTTCTTCGAACAGCATTTGAAGTCTAGTTAGTTAGTCTTTATGTGATGATGCGTTTGCAACAAGCGTAGCTACAAAAATTTTTCGCGGAAATTTTATCAGGAAGGGATCGAGTCTATATATCTACCTTTGACCTCAAAAATCCGCAAAGCTGTATTGCAATTTCTCTGAACTTTAAAATAAAATTTCTATTTACAAGTATTTGATCCACCTCGTAGATGTCAATTTTATGTTATTCCTTGACACTGTGTATAACAACATGAATAAAAATTGTTATTTATGTATTGTGTTATTGTTTATTTTAAAATCGTGCGCAACCATTTACGGTATAACGCGCATCCTATTACTTTCTTATTCCTTTTAAACATATACATAAAATGCAAGACGATTCACATCTTTCCTTATTGGGAGATGGAAGAGACTGATGGTTTTATGTTCTATATACTGCTAAGGTACATGTCCGTGTACTTTAATTAATGAACGAAAATGTTAGTTTTAAGATATTCCGGTAAAGGATGTAGAAATTACTACTACATTTTTTAGTAATAATAGTAAAGTGACAATCAGGGTCTGTTAAATACATAAAATAAATATGTATAATTTATCAAAAATTTAATCAAAATAATCAAAAACATGACTGTATAAAATTATAAAAAAAAAACATACATGTGACCCATTTCAAATGGAAATATTCTCGTAAAAGACGTATGTATTATTGTCGGATTGAATAAATATATATATATATATA